GCGTACACCTGAACACCGAGTGCCATGAGACAAATTACCTTTCAGTCCACATCCCAGTCGGATTCCTCCGGTATACAAACCAACCAAACTGGCGATGGGACATACCACAAAGAGGGGCATAGAACCCATCCATCGATATCTTGGACACACCAACTTAAATTCTCAGGTGAATTGGCCAGAAATCCAACAAGTAAACCCTTCTAGCTGCATTCCGATTATGCCATGCCAGTGTATGCGTACCGAGAACCTATTCGCGACCAGCATCGACGTCCATAGTTACGGTGAGCCAAATACATTCAACGATCTGATGTTGATATAAAAGTCTTTTCTGGCGATTCCAACTCTCCTGTCAATGAACTTTTTGATGATCAACTGCATATTTTTTCATCTCATTTCATTTACCGATTGAGAAAGGGTATGACATTAAGTATCCTGTGTGCACTGCACCCCGAACACAGGAGAAACTCCATGCAGTTTTCAAAGATAAAGAACAAAATAATAAACAAAATATCAGGAGGAAAACTTGTACCAAACAAACTAAAACGATACAAGATCTCTACCAGATAGAACTTTACTTAAACGTATATTCCTCAGGGATAGCAACGTCAAAACATCAAATATCGATTTGGAAAAAAATACAAGACAACAAAAGAAAAGATCTTAAATCAGATTCTTCATTCCTCGGAAGGCAAAGTTACAGATTTGGACTGATAGAAAAATGGGTCAAGTAAAGTCATTTCGTGAAACAAAATAACTTTTCAAATGTGATTGGAAACAAGTTTACAAATAACTGAATGCATCCAATTGCATTGATGAGAAAGGACCCACCATGGATTCCAATGAAAGGTTTTTGGAAACAGTCTGTACCCTGCAAATACAACCTTGAGGAACCATAGTAGAGGAGCATAAAGATAATGTACACGAACAAATAAGGTCGCCACTGGTGTGTTTCATAACACCTGATTGCCTGAAAGTAATTGAAAAGTCCAAATCTAATAGGTTGATGGGGTTCGAAACCGGTATTGGACCTGTTCATCGTTACTTCGTTATTTCGATACTCTCACGGATTTAGGGAATGTTCCGCTTTAATTGTACACATTTGTGTTATATTTCTTCCAAAGAGAGGTGATTTGATCGATCCGAAAAACCACCGCCTCTTTTACATGTCTTATAGATCTTGTGTCATCATTCTGCATTTCCAATGATATTATGTATAGAAAGGAACCGGAAAGGGATGTTGGGGTTGCAACGATGCATTGTTGGTTAAAAAATTGATACTTAAAAAGGCAAATACAAATGGAGATTAAAAAAAAATCTGAATGTTCACAATAAAGTCAAAGCCACAAATATTTACACTGTGCCCGCCCTCTCCTATTCTTTTGACGTTGTTGAGAGCACAAGAAACTCTGAGCATTAACCACTTCACACGAAGAATCGTGTCAGAAAATAAATGCCAGAAGCATAGGTCTTCCCTCTGTCGTTAATATTTATCAATTATATTGTAAGAGTTTGGTTGGATCTGTTTGTCTGATTATCATTGTGTGAGGCAAAATGATGAAAGCAAGGCATTCCAAAGATTTTGTAAACGAGACAAGGATGTTGGAGTCTAAATGTCAATGTTGATTTTGTTGACGGGTCTGAGCGTCCAGCAAGCGAAGTGAAATATTAAATCAGCACACACTTAACGGCTCTTAAACGACAACATATACCGAGTTTATGAGCAGTGTGCTGAGGAGAAGCGCAACCCTGCTGAGACCTTCGCTTGGATGAAGTCGACAAGCCTGAAAAGTGAAACAGAAGGCTTTCTGTCCCCTGTTCAGGACCAGCCACTTCGCCTGATGATGGAGCAAGAATCATCTCAGCTCTGAAACGTTGTATAGAATAAAAAGAAGTTGCCATCCATAAAACATGTCGTGTAATCAGTCAGCACAACCGTCAATGTGTTATTTTGCATCAAATTGTAAATATGAAATATAGGTTATGGAGTGAAGTTTAACGAAGTTGTCCAACACCTTGTCAGTGGATGAACAAACACAGTATCTTAAGGGACATGATAACGATGATCGGTCCGTCTTCGCCGTGTTTGTGGTTTTGACTCAGAGGTCCATCCATGGTACGACCCAGTATAAGTAGAGGGCGTCATGGAAAATGACAATCATAAAATTCCTTGGAGTAGGCCCGAATACAGTCTCAGACGTATCCAAAGCCAGCAAACCTGAGAGGGTCGATTTTGAAAAAAGCTAATGAATATATTTATATTATTGAAATTCCTCTTCCTTTTGACACAAATGTGATTGACAAGATTCAGGAGAAACGTCGTAAATTTGCGGACCTCGCTTACGAATCTTTACGCTTGCATAACAAGTACCAAATAGTCCAACTCCCCATTGTTGTTTGTGTCCTAGGTTTGGGACCTCCCACTCCCTTGACTAACACTGGGAATACTCAGCCCTGCCTGTAATAGGGTTAATACAGAATGCACTGTTCGGGAGTCAATACATACTCCGAAACGATCTTGTTGGGGTTCGACTAGGCAGCGCTTCCCGGAAGTCCCATTCGCTGTCTGGGTTTTGTGTAAAAGGGACAAGAGCCCTGAGCTGATGATGAGCTGAACCAGCCTGATCACCGAACCAGCTTGGTTGCATTCATTTATTTTAATCTGTAAATATGTGATAACAAGTAACACGGATATGTTACATAAATGAAATGTCCATGTCAAAGGGGTTCTACTGCAGCCAAGCCTGTATTCTGCCTTTCAATAACTAAAACAATACCTTCCCGAGCACAATAACTCATAATGAACTCTAATGTGTTCTTGTGTTTGCCATGGAAGCGCGCAAGTGCATACTGTAAATACTGTATTCGACGGATGCAAACACTATCGATTGGAATGCTATTACAAGTGACGTTATTGACCATTTTCAGCCACAATCGATTCAAATTAACACTCATTCAACAATAGCCTCTTTGCGAAAAGATTTCATCTGCTTTCTCCAAGACAGGTCAGAATTAAGTAGTCTCACATCCGTTACCACCAGAATGTTGGTCTTGAAATATCGCCTGTTCCTAGAAGTGTGTACAAGTCACAGAATTATAAATGACTCTGGCTGTAAATATACGTCATATTGACATGTCTGTGAACATAAGGAGATTGTCCACTCGGAGACATTAACTGCCCTCCCATCCTCAACGACACCCAGAAGAGTCAACACAACATAAAAGTATCACACATCAGCTATTCTACCTGAAGGAGCAGGTCAACGGGTCAACCCACGCCATAAAGTCATCACTATCACCTTCACAAATTTGCACGTCATTACTCCACACTCCAGGGAGTACTATTTCACTTATATCATGGCGTGTCAGCACAGGTGGAGAGGAAACGTAAATGTCAGAGAACAATCAGTCTCTATTACCTGTCGAAAGAGATGCCATTGGGTGTAAAAGCCAAAATGTAGTAAATTAGATTAATTGACCGCGTAAAATCAGTGTTGATACCACGTGTTTGGTCGTAAGCGTTATAGCCTGAATGGTGGTACTGTTACCAAAGATAACATCGGAACACCTCGCCACAATGACAAACGATGCTCTCTTGCTGATATTTATATTCCTTTAGTATCAACATGTCTAACATTGCTTGGTATCTCGCTTATAAGCCATGATGGGTTCGATAATAGGTGTTTTCCTACGAGCCCAGACCCGTGAAGATCCGGGGCAGAATATGTCTTCAGCAACCAATGCTTGCCACAAAAGGCGACTATGCTTCCCGTAAGGGGCGACTAACGGGATCGGGTGGTCAGGCTCGCTGACGTGGTTGACACATGTATTGGCTCCCAATTGTGCAGATCGATGCTCATGCTGTTGATCACTCGATACTCGATTATTTACAGACCGCCGCCATATAGCTGGAATATTGCTGAGTGCGGCGTAAAACTAAACTCACTCACTCACTCCCTACGAGCCCAAATCATTTTGCCTAAAAACAAGATCATCACGTTTAAACAGAAAACGAACTGGGCCAAGAAGATGAGGGCGATTGGGATTGTGGGATCATAAAGCACTCGGTTGACAGTTGGTTGTCTGTACTCCTAGGATGATGAAAATATTGTGTTAATGATGTCATAGCGCTCTTCATGTGTTAAAACTAAGCGGCCATGAGCAGGATATGCCGCTCGTACGTAATGCCATGACATTGAGCTGGAACGCTTCTCAACACATTGCCTTCTCCGTGTATTACTTTATCATGTATTGTATAACAACTAAAGACGTTGAACTCATCATATTTCTTCGTCTTGTGAGCTAGTTCTCCTGTCGTCAAAAACACGTTGACAATGGTGTATGATATTAAAAACAATATAATAATTTTGGGAATAAGGCCAAGGTGAAATATGTTTATCCACCTAAAGCTGAGAAATGTATTTCTCTGATGTTCACTGATTGCATGAGAACATATTGATCGATTGAAAGTTTCAAAAATCCCTTGCCCTAATCCGAATATTGTGCCAATAAACTTCATGTACCAAAACAACAATAGGTCATTGCAAGCACAACATTTACCAGAAATACGTGTAGGATATGGATGCCTTAATAATAACTGAATAATAAATGATGTGTGAACCGATTGGAATGTTTAAGTCGTGGTTCGTGTTATCAAGCACCGGTAGATCAAGTTCCAGGTCGCCATGATAAAGATTGAATATTGCCGACAGCGGCTTGAAGCAACATCCACTCACTAAATCGGAAAAAATAGAACTGACGCGATTGAAAAAATTGACGAAACGAAAACCAAAATTTGTAACCTAACTCTAAGAAATTCATTATCAAACGTTAAGTCGCCTGTTTACGAGCCCGATGTTATCTATACATATATAAAACACCCACAAACCTCATTGATTCACCCATATAAGCATTCCATCCAAACGTAGGTGTATAAATCACAACCTTTGACACCAATACATGTATACATGGGTGAACCCTGGTTCAGAGTATCAAACACCTACCAAAGTCCTTAACATGATGTTAAGTCTATCAATATCGCTCTGTCTCTCCGCGGAGGGTCTCTGTGGAATGTCATCCTGAAAACTGTCTAAGTCATCTCCATTCTGTTCTTCGTTCATATCTAATCCAACGGAGGGGGAAAACCGTTCACGTAAAAGAAGCTGCCTTAACAAGTTGCTCTGTTTCTGGGTGTCTATTGTCTGGGCGATGTTTGGGTCCGACCTCTTTCCATTGCCTGAAACAAAACAAGAAAGGGTACATTCACACACTTCAGTTGAAGGAGAAGGTTTTGTGTCCGTCAGGCTGCTTCAGTAATGGGAAGTCTCCTTTGAAAGGATAAGAGCTGCACATTTGGTTGAAGTAGATAAAACCTGTCCCTTTAATAATGCTTTTAAAATAATTACAGGCGGTTTGGCTGTACACAGTTTTATTAAAATATGGATAACTCTGATGTAAATTTGAAACCCAATGCATATCGATTTTTTTATCGAAACATGTAGCTGGTAAAGGTTTCACGCCCTGCATAGATGCAATCTACAAAAGTAGAATTATAAAACGTCAGGATCCGAGAACACTCAGTTTCAAATATCGACGTTACAATTTTTTTTATTCCATTGGAGAGGATTCAAAATAGAAAAACAAGCTCACATGGGGAAATACAAAGGGCACCAGGTGGTAGTTGAATGGCAACTCTGACAAGGCACTTGTTGCAAGGTAACTGAAAATACGCTCCGCCACAGCGCATTTCTACATTCCTGTCATGGTTCTGCTTATCCATGGCGTCTATATCGAATTATATCGAGTTAACACGTATCATTAATTACTGCGTAACAAATACAACATTTTGGTTAGTGTTGTCTGCATAATCATCCTGATTTGAGCTTAAATATGTGGCACATTTAGCCAAGGTTCCATACAGGTATATGTGCCATCAGGTATAAATGCGTCCATTTACCTCAACAAAGAACACATTCCTTGAGGAGTCCCTTAAGGAACGGTCAAGCTTGATGCAATTGATGATAGGATGTGGCTAAATAAAGATAACCATCCATGGAAGAGCAATGACCTTTGTTGCTATATTACTGTACCGAAATGACATTATTTAATGCTCAAAAGGATATGTTTAAATGGGGAAAACGCTTCTACGAAGTTTAACCTCGTATTCCCAATGTTTGCTAAACGTGTCCTGGACCATTTGAGCAAGAAACTAATAATGTTGAAGTAATTATGCCCTAAAAGCTTCACTTATGCTCGCCGAAGGCTTTCAAATCGGAATCGCTCTATAGAATGCCGTAAAAGAAATGAAGTGCGGGAACTTGGAACACAAGGATGACAATATTGTCTCTCAACTAATGGGAAATCGCAAGATGTTTTTCTTATTCTCCTTAACATCTTAATTTCCATTTTTAAGCATTTTATTCCCCGTTTCGATCTTTTGGCTAATATTAAGTGCCCTCCTAGTTTCGCTAGGGCATGGTAAATACCAGTCGAGAGTTTCATGTCAATGTCATTTCCCCACTGAAGTCAATGGAAGTCTGAACGCGTTATAGGAAGGCTTTCTTCAATAAGATTCTGGCAAGCTCCCACACACTTGTCCAATAGAGCCCTCTCAGGACTGCCTGGTGGAATCTGATGCACAAGTACGATTCTCTTATCATCTCCAAGTATAATTAAATAGAGTATTAAGTGGATCACCTCAAAGGTCAATTGACACATTATAAGGCTGTCATTTTCCAGGGTATATGTTTGTAATTGAAAACTTGCAAATCATGTTTGCAAAAGCCCTCTAATACGTAAACAATCTGCCGTTTTAATCCAATTGACAGCGAGGATTGTGTTCCGAGCGTGGCATTAAAACAGTTTAAATTGGACAAGTGAAAGGTAGGGGAAAAGCAATTTCAATTTGGAAAGAAAATGTCTGGGATCGAGCTCGTGACAACACTAATATCATTCTTGGTCAAGTGGGGTATGTTTTTTCTACAAAAGAAATGGGAAAAAAAGATAAAGAAAGACAATATTTTAATGTAAGCGACATCGGCTCAGAAAGTTAAACGAATGAATAGCCTGTTTTTCCTTGGAGAAAAGCATGTATCATATTTCTTTGCTCTCGAGGATTCTTTATGATATTTAAAACAGAAATTGTACACCCAGCGAGTTAGTTAAGGCATCTGACGTGAGAGCTAAGTAACATGATTTCATGATGATGACATGCAAATAACACCTTGTTTTTATATTCGAAAAGGACGTATCCTTACTTTCTGACAAGAATACCACTGAGGCAATCACCAGTGTCATTTTACAAGTCTTTTCAACACGTCACGTACTTTTGCAAAAAATTGAAATTGATATAAGACAATGAGTCTTTTTGTTTCACGACTGGAACGTTTATTATGCCCATGACCAGAGCTCGGCTGTATTCATTGAGAGGAACGTTTTCACTTTGTGTTAGAAAATATAAAATGCCATTCAGTCAGTAAACCAACTACCTTAGAACGAAAGAATCTAATATGACTGTGTATTTAATTAAGTAATTCAGAAAGAATTTGGTACTTTTATCTAAAATGAACAGTAATAACGAGTAACCCTGAAATTAGGAGAACACACACTGTTTTAAGAGGACAGTTAAAAGCAAATGTTAAATGTTATGGTTGGCAGGTCGCTAATCGGTTCAGTTGACACGCGTTACATTGTGAGCACAGACGCTTCTGCAGTCGGGACGTCGATTTGTCTTACTTCGTGAGATTACACAATCAAATCCTCAAGGGAAAGTTTGGTAATAAACATCTTTTCAATCCTGAACCGATTTCCCTCCTCACAAATTCACTGCAATCATTTCGGGAGATATTTACGAATCACAGCCGGTATAATAAGCCCTAGTTTATGAAGACCGTGTCGTTAATGTGCCAACCGCCGCCAATCCATCGTCAGAAGGTTAATGTGTGTAATCTTCATCACAAGATGTGTGGGACGAAAGAGGGGTTCATGCCCCCAGCCTAACTACCAAGTTCAGAAGAAGAAAATATTTGGGAGACTTGCTATTCAGAGGCGCAAATGTATTCTTCACTTACACTTATCGACACAATGTCCAGTGAGTACTGTTAGTCACTTAAAGAACACTCTGTGCTTGACTATGATGAAGTAGATTCCTTAACGATGGGTAAAAATAGTTCACATAAAGACAGGTTTGAACTAAGTTAACACAGCAGGATGCAGGACTGTCTGCTGTGCTCATACTGCAGTCTGTCTTAATCTGCCAAGGCTTACCGAGAAGTGAGAATGGGGGCGGTGGTTTGATGTAATGGTCCTTTGAAGAGTTATGTCTCGCAACGTCAACTTCTTGTGGAAGCAAACTCCCAAACAGGGAGGTCACAACGATTGTTTAAATTTTGGATTTCAATGACAAGAGTTGAAAGTTCACAAGACGTATTTGTCGTAAATGATGTAATGATGAAATTTACTTTTTGAAATAAGTTTAATAATGTCTACAACATGTATATTCTAAAATTCACAAACAATGGACTTCTCTTGGCGACATGAGGTCACTGCAGATTTGCGCGTCTTTTGTATACGCAGATTTGCAGCCAGACACACATGACCGCGGGTTCAAATCCCGGTTCGCACCGATTATATTTCTTGGCACCATGCCTTTGCTAGTGGGTTGCACCAAATGAATAGACGTCTAGGACCACGCCGTGATATACTTGTAAATAGAGTAAACGGCTTTAAATATAGAACGTCAGTACAAAAGAATACGCAGTCTTGACTAACCACAGAAATAAGGTCCATTTGGTGTAAAGGGAAAAATAGCTGTGTAACTTATATGAATGGATCACTGAAGAGAGGTGATGAAACCAGGCGTTCACGAAAAGGGTAACCCCCAATTCTCTGACTTACTCATTCTTAGCGGTACATGAAGGATGATCTGAGCTTTTCCCTGAAGATATGTTATTCCCAAAACATTTAACCTTTATTGGCGAATCTTTCAGAAACCTCCAGGTTTATACCTCTGCATACCATAAAGATTCTCTCATGATACGCATTTCTGAATTACTGTCGACCGTGATGAAACCAGATGTTCGCGAAAAGGGTAAACCCAATTCTCTGACTTACTCAATCTTAGAAGACATGTTATTATTCTTCCAAAACATCTCATCTTTATCAGGGAATCTTCTAAAAGCTTCCCGATTTTTATGTCTGTATACCATACAGATTCTCTCATTTATGAATCACTATCAAAGGGTTATGGAACCTCGAAAAGGTGAGCGTTTCCTGCCCTACCGATGGCACCAGTCATTTTCTTGACAATGTTGTATTCTAATAGCCATATCGTGTACCGTCACTGCCCGCAATCAGTCCTTCTCGTCAGTGTGGTGCTGCCGCTCAAGATACTTGAAATGCAATCCCCAGACAGACCCGGTAAACCTTTAGCTAATTACTTAAATATACTATCCAAAAAAAGAAACGCATAGGTCAGAAATCTGTTGCGAAAACGTTGTCTTTTCAAACATGTATAACTCGTCCACAAATAGACTTTAGTACAAGATTGTTTACATCAGGTCAGAAGAAAGAAATGTCTATACAACCAAGTGGATAACTTTAGATAACAGAGACGTTGTGCGCGATGGTGACGACGTAGCACTGTCCCGACGTCAGGTCACCTGGCTCTCAGTCCAATCTCTCTCAACCTGTTCCGTACAGTTTGACCGGATATGCTCCGAAGTTCAGGCACTCTGGCTGCTGTGCTCTCACCCGTGGCAGTACGATCACGAAAATGTAGTACCCGGATGTACCGATCTTTGGCTACAGTGGTGACTCGAGGTCTGCCTGTACGGGGACGGTCATTTGTTATACCTGTTTGGTTGTAACGAGCTGCAAGCCGTGATATTGTGTTCAGACTAACATTCAGACCTGTGGCAACAGAAGATTGGTAATCTCCAGCGTGCATTCTTTCAATGGCGATACTCAGTGTCGCAGAGTCAAGACGTGGCGTAGCGATCTGACCTTGAAACTCCTTCAAAACGAATGCCGATTTCCGAAAGTAACCTGTATTCTTATAGCCAGACAGTGATTGCTCTTTCCTGCACAATTTCAACTGGAAGATGATTTCGGTTACCTTGTGGCGTTGCCTTTTTGATCCTTGTAAGAAATCTCATGTTATCAACACTTTTGTTACATATTTTGACGATTGTTTGAACACAAAAGGTAATTAATAGATTTTTTAAAGTACAAAACGCC